ATCAGTATGCTAACAGGCTCACTATTATGTCAACATGCTGATGTTTAGCAGGTATAATGTAGCACTGACCACACAGTGCAGCTGAGGCCTGAGCTCATAAGCATTAAACAGACGTATTAACTTAATGACAGTTCATCCTGAAGGGAAACATCGTTTGCATCAGATTTTCAATCCAACCAATAGTTGCTGAGATATTTCACTCCAAACCACAAATGTCAACCTCACACAGGTGCTAAAGACAGGGTATTACCAAAGGCTAATTAGTATATTAGTGGCTGGGTGCCGCGTCGCCACATGTTTATGATGCAATCATACATTCAACATTTTCCAGTTGCTGCTATTTGAAATGTTGCTGACTGAGTTACAGATAGTCAGCTTCTCCAAATCTGACTAACTTTAGCTGTGTTTCCTGTGTGTCACCTCTCTCTACCTACTTGGAGTTTTAGTTGAGATATTTCTAGAGGATAAGTCACTGGGATTCATCCACTGGACACCATCAATGTTTGTCAATCCATCCTGTAGCTGTTGAGTTATTTCAGTCTGAACCAAAGTGGTCGACAGACAGACAGACGGACACTGACATTCACAGAGCTGCTAGTGTGGCTAAAAACATAACAACAACAACAACATGTCTTGCTAAAACATATGATGGACAATCAAATCTGTTAAACGTTACAGTTACAGATGTTAAAAGCCTAAAAGTCTAAAAAAATGTTCTTTACCAAGAGGGCAGGACTGTAATTGTGTTGTAAAATCAGGGGCCTGTATTTCAACTTTCAGCTATAATTACACTCAAGAATTATCTGAACTCTTGCAAAACTTGCAAAACAGTTTCTGAGAAGCAAGTGATCACATGATCGATCACGTGTATGTTCAGAGCAGGAACAGCCAATCAGAGACCATTATTCATCATACAGAAATCCTTATATTTTACTCTTATTCTGTCATTTTATTTCATAAAGTTGAATTTTTTATATCTGCAGTATCAATTAACATATTTATAATGAATAAAAATAGTGATGGCATAATAGGAAATTGGCTGAATTGAAAAAGAACTAAACTGGAAAAAAACATTGTGCTTCTAGTAGACAAACTTTAAGACTTGCAGTGTTTACTGTGTTTGCTCACCTCTGTTTTTGAACAGGGGTCTCACACACAGGAGGGCCACTTCAAGGTTCAAGCACTGCAAAGAAAGTAGAATATTGCGAAAATATTTCCATTAATAACATCATACTTAACATAAAAACAAAATACAAGCAGCAGTTTCTATCGATTTTTATATTATCTTTGTTGTTTGCAGCCAAACAACAAATAAATATATAATATTATATTATGTTATATGATGTTGCGTCAGAGGAGGCACAGCAGGTTCAACACAGCAATCTCTGATGGCTGATTTATATCTTTAAATGTAAAAGTAGGTTTTAAAAGAAAAAGGGTTCAAGTCTGGGCAACAGATGTACTCTGAAGAATAAAACAAAAGGGGACAAAGGAAATAAGTCATATCAGTCAGTACAGACTAAATACAGGATACAGCGAGTCAACGCTGTACGAATGTGAAGTTCAGCACTGCCGACAGGCATCATCACCGCCCTTCAGTATTACTGAAAGAGGATCTCTTTCACTGCTGTTTGTATGCTTGTTGAACTCAACAATGTGAGTGAAAAGGCAGCAAAGACAGGAGTTTGGCAAATAATAACACAATAATCCCGTCCAGATTCCAGGTTAAAACCTCATGTTTCATATAAAAACACCTGGCAGGTCTGGCACTGTTGAAGTGAGAGATTTCAATCCAAAAATTCTGCTGACTCTGAGATAATGTGCAGCTATTGTTTATTGTGGCGTCCTTCTATTGTTTAGAAAGCAGCACAGACGCTGCAGCCAAATCATCAACCACAATCGGCTTTTATATTGTGCAATTTCCAGAATAAGACTGATGTGTGTGTGTGTGTGTTTTCTTGATGCAGTTCCAATTAAAACATTATTATTATTATAAAGATTCATGGCATGTGTTTTTAAGTCGTTGCAGAAGAAATTTACTTTCCTCAGAAGTGCTTCCACAGAGGTTACCATGTCAGCTGGTTATGTAACCCTGTAACAGTGAACGCATAAGCAGCTTAGAGGAGCTGCTTTTGATTTTACAGATGGCT